TGACGGCAGGGCTGCAGCTCCCAAAGCACAAAAGATGTCGCCAAGAGGGTGGCCGTGTCCCACACCCCCTCCCCAGCCAGGGCAGGCAGCCAGCAGCACTTGGTGTGTCTTGGGGAACACATGCTTCCCACTCCCCCCGTGTGTTGTGCCCTTTGCTCCTCAGCATCCTGGATTAAAGGACAACATGAAAAAGCCAATGGCTTTCCCTTCAGTCACCTCTCGGCAGAGATCCCCATCCCATTCATGGCTTGAGGACATCCTGGGACATCCCGGGACATCCCTCCGTGGGTTGTTGCAGTGGCACCATGGCCTCAGTTAAACACCAAACCCTCAAAAGCAACGTGTTTTAATGATTTCTGGTTTTAAAGCTCGTGAAAATAATAATAATATTAATAATAATAATAAAACAAGACTTCCAGTCATTTCAAGGGCTCCCTCCCTATTTTTAAAAGCCAAACAGAGGGAGCAAGCCCCCGTTAAAGTGACGGGATTTCCAGCACCTTCGGTCCCCAAAATAACTGGAGCATCCTGGCATGGCAGCTGCCTCGAGAAGAGGGGTCAAGCATCCCTGCCAGGGCAGCACCTCCACATTCGGGCTGTCTTCTTCCTCCTTGGGGAGGTGGCATCGCTGGAGACCTCCCACCTCAAAAAAAATGCTGAAGGGGTTAAAGACTACAGAGCTTTCTATTGCTAATATGCGATTTACATAATTTATACAGCATTTATGGGCCCCTGCCTTTATTCCAGCTAAAACTTAGCATCAGTTTCCCTTAGGAAATGGAAAAAAAACCCAAAGGTTAAAGAAAAGTTAAGTATAAAAAAATATTTCAGAGTCATTCTCACATCCCCTCCTTTTAACGTGAAGAAATGGGGGTTTTTTTGGGGGGTCTCAAGGAGGTGCTGATGGGCTCTGGGGTCTGCAGTGGGACAGAGGAGCCAGCTCAGGTGCTTTCTTGAGAGGGGGACAGAGGCTGGGACAGGTGACGTCCCTCCGGCCCTGCTCCCATCAAGATCTGAAAGAAGACAAAAAAAAAAAATCCCAGGATTTGGGGAATGTGCTTAGTAAGACATTTAAAACCATTATTTCAAAGGCGGGGGGGGGGGGGTCTTTTGATGGGGGGGGGGGGGAGCTGTCTTTTGAAACTCAGCTTCATTCTTCCCCGGAATAACAAGGAAATTCCATATAAACACTCCAAAGGGGAGCGAGACACCAACCCCCAGCTCCACCACTGGCCAAATCCAGCTTTGTTTTGGATGCTCATGCAGAAAACCCAGATAAAGGAGAGGAAAAAAGGAATTAAACTGCTCAGGTCCAACCCCCATCTCTGGTATTTTTTTGCCAAGGGAAGGACAGGGAAGGACAGATAGACATCTCCTTACTGGGAAATCTTGCAGTTTGTCGTGGCGACGTAGCGTCCGGTGTAATGGATGTTGCACCTCACCACGTTGTTGGTGAAGTCTGACTCCAGGACGATGTATTTGGGGTTCACTTGAACCTAAAAGTGGGGGAAAGGGAAGCAAAAACACCACCAAAAATTAGTAAGGGGGGGGGGCAAGCAGCACCTAAACCTGTGTTAAACGGATGGCACCAAAAAAGGTGCGTGGTTCCAAATCTGGTGCTTAAGAAGATCCCAAGCCAACCCCAAATCAGTAATGTTTGCCCCTAAAAATCTCCCCCAACGATCCCAGCCACCTTTAAGACGTAATTCCCCGGCTGCACATCTGTTATATCGATCCACTGGCAGTCGATGTCAGCATTGTAGGTGTCGTAGCAGCCTGGGCTCAAGCCCTGCAGGGAGAAAAGGGGGTTTGGGGGGGGGGCTGGGGGGTGGTGATCCCCGAAAAGCCCTTCAAGCATTCCCCTGCAAAGCCACCTGGGTGTGGGCCGTGCAGGCATAACGCTTCAGGTTGCCAAAATCGCAGGTGGTGTCCTCAAGGCAGAAGCTGGCCTTGTGGCCCTCGGCCACCTTCCTCCCCGTGGTGGCATCCAGCAGGTCATAGTGGCTGAACTCATCCATGCTGTGGTAGTGCCTGGGGACAGGGTGGGGGGACAGAGTCAGGGTGAAACCCCCCCCAAATGGTGCTGTCCCCTCCCCAGATGTGATTTTGGGGGCTCCCCATCAACCCTGGGTCCACACCAGCTTGCCAGCTCCCTCCTTGGGGACATTAATTGCAGGAGTTTGGTGGCTTTAGGGACAAAGAGGTGAAGCAAGGTGCCGCCCCCGCCCTCCCCCCCGCCCCGCAAAAGACCTCAAAGCAAAGCCCCAAAAAGGGGGAAATGCCATTACAAAAGCCTTAAAACTGCCATGACAAGGAGGGCTGATGGACGCGAGGTGGGGACACTCACTGGTGGCAGCTGTGCCACTCCCAGCTGTGCCGGGGCCGGCTGGGCAGAAAGTCGGCCGTGCCCTGGTTCTTCACCCGCTGGGGAAACCTCAGGAGCACCCGCACGTCGTAGTCAGTGGCTTCGGCAGTGTAGGCGGTGCTGGGGACATCGGGGAGGGTCAATGCCAATGTCCCCCCTGCCCTTAGCCCCAGCCCTGGGGGACAGGAGCCCCCCCCCAGGCACAGGGCACAGGCTCAGCTCTGGCATCCCTGGGGAGGAAAAGCCCCATCCAGAGTCTCTGCAGGGAGAGTTTCCTCCATGGAAAAGGAGATGATGAAAAAAGGAGAGGAGAGAAAGTCCCCTACCCTGCAGCACCTGCCAGACACCTTCCTTTGCTTTTTCTCTTTTCCTTTCCATTTCCTTTCCCATTCCCTCTTTCCTTCTCCTTTCCTCCATCCTTCTTCCCCTTCCCTTCCCCTTTCTTCTTCCCTTTCTCCTTTCCCCTTTCCTCCTCCCCTCTCTTTCATCCTTCTCCTCCTTCCCCTTCCCCCTATTCCCTATCCTTCCCTTCCCTTCCCTTTCCCCTTTCCTTCTCTCCTCCATCCTTCTCCTTAACCCTTCTTCTCCTTCCCCATCCCTCTTCCCTTTCCTCTTCCCTTCCCTTTCCCCTTTCCTTCTTTCCTCCTTCTCCTCCTTCGCCATCCCTCTTCCCTCATCCTTTTCCCCTTTCCTTCTCTCCTCCATCCTTCTCCTTCACCCTTCTCCTCTTTCCCCATCCCTCTTTCATTTCCTCTTCCCTTCCCTTTCCCCTTACCTTCCCCTCTACTCCATCCTCTTCCTCCTCCTCTCACCAGCACATCCCCCACCGTACCCCTCCCGCCTGCCTGCTCCCCATCTCCCCCTCACCCCAGAACCCCCTCTCTCCCCCCATGTCCCCATCTCCCTCTCACCCCAGGATGCAGCCCACACCCCACGGCTGCTCCTACCTGGCCAGGCACTTCTCCTCGGCTGCGCAGCGCAGCGAGTACAGGTGAGCTCGCTGCACGTAGGTGGACGCTTGCACGTAGTTGGGGTCCGGCACCAAGTCGGGGAGACCTGCCAGGAGGATGGGGACAGGTCTTGGGGACGTGGCCTGGGGACAAGGGTTGGGGATGCAGCAGTCTCCTCCTTGAAGCAGCCAGCCCTGACCTCGTGGGGAAGGTTTGCTTCAGTGACTGCCATGTTTTTTTAATTTTAAGCTGCAGACGGAAAATCCTCCCTTCCCCTCCTCTTCCCCCCCGCCTGGCTCCTGCTGGCAAATCCCAGTCCTCCATTTTCCTACAGCGGGATTGCTCAACCCAGCCTCCTGGAAGCGATTACACCCAGCCCTGGCCAGCCGCCGTGACCCACCGCCCTGCAAAGGGCTATTGGGGTCCCCCCGAGTCCCCTGGCTCCCAGCCCTGCGGCAGCCAGGGACGAGAGTGATACGACCTCCAAAAAAGGGGGGTGTGTCTATTTCTTGCCCTGCTTCCTGTTTTTCATCCCAAAACAGGGGTGAAAGTGAGGGCTCTGCTAACCCCAGGACCCCATGCCATTATCCTTCCTCTTCTTTAATTCCCAACATTGTCCTGCGCTTGGGGCCAAGCCGAAGCGAGCTGTGGACAGACAGACAGACAGACAGCTGCAGGGATGGGTGGGGGCTGCCTCACTTTCCAAAAGCATTACATTATGGAGCCCAGCTGGAGCTGGCGCTTCCCCCCTAGCAACGCCCTTTCACACCTCCCCTTCCCAAAGGCTCCTCCAGGACCACCGACCCGGAAAGCATCCTTACATCTGCCCCTCAAGAAGGATCAGGATGGGCAGGATGTTCCCACGTGTTCTGTGCCTCAGTTTCCCTTCTTGCAGCCCTCTGCAACACCAAGCCCTGCTCTGCAACAACCTGTGCTTAGCATCTCTCCTTCCTGCGAGCTCACCAGCCTGTCCCCATCCGCATCCTCATCCCCATCCCTGTCCTTGTCCTCATCCCCATTCCCATCCTCACCCGCAACCCCATCCCTATCCTTATTCCCATTCCTGTCCTTGTCCCCATCCTCATCCCTGTCCTCATCCCCATCTGCAACCTCATCCCCATCCTTGTCCCCATCCCCTTTCCTCTCCTTATCCCCATCTTCATCCCCATCCTTGTCCCCATCCTCACCCCTCATCCTCATCCGCTTCCCCATCCCCATCCCTGTCCTCATCCCCATCCCTCATCCCTATCCCCTTTCAAAGGACGAGGGGTTCCAGCCCTACCAGCTCCTCCCTTTGCACCCAGGCAGTTTCCAGCATGTTTCCTTTTTTCCCTCCTATTTTTTTATCCCTATTTTCCCTTTTTTCCATGGGCAAAAAGAACAATGCCTTCTTGTTTCTTGGCCTGCCTTCCCTCGAGGGATCACGTCACTCCTTTGGAGCTCGTTTCCTGCCCTGCTTGCTTGGTCATCGCTGCTGATGTAATACCCAGGGGGGGCCGTGCACGCCAGGGGGGAAAATCGTGAGAGCTTGGAAAGACTTTTCCCCCCCCTCTTAAAAAAATTAATAATAAAAAAGCGACGGAGAAAGACCCCTGGGCCCCATCCCACTTGTGAGAGGAACATTTGTCATCATTTATAAAACAGCTTTTCCTCCCCACTGTTGTTTATAATAAATTCTTGGACGCTGCAGAGAGAAACCCGACTCCTTTACCAACGGGGAGTTTTATTTTCTCCCCACGACGGAGCTCGCCCTGGATGGCCCCGGTGTTATTGTAGGGTCTCACGCCTGATTTTCGGCTCAGGCCCGGCACCGAAGGGTCAAACTGCAAGCGCCGGCATCACTCGGGTTAATAGGATGGCAGGATCCGGCCTCACCACCCTCCAAATGTCCCCTTATCACAGCAAGGCACCGAACTGTCCCCATCTGGGGGCTGGCCAAATCCTGATCCTTTTTGCTGAGCCAGCACTTTTCCACCTCCTGCAAGTCAAGGGGCCTGGCAGCCCCCCGCTATTGCCTCTGAAAAGGGACAACCACAGCAAGAAAATGTTTGTTTTTCCTCCTCCGCCCCTTGGCCTGCCCTGGGGAGCTGCCAGAGAAGATTTCCTTCTTATTCGCCATGAAAATTAGAATAATAAAAAAAGGCAGGCCTGCTCCCCACCGCGCTGTTTGTGCAGGTGTGCCGGGCTTAGCCGAAAAATCCCAGCTCCAGCAGTTTTCTGAGAGGGCGGCTGCTTTGCCTCCCTGTGCCTGGCAGTGCTGGGTCCCAGCCCTGGAGATGCAGGGACCGCCAAAGGGGGTGACTGTGAGTAGTGGGGATGGGGACACCCCCAAGCGACCGAGGTGCACCCTTTCATCCCGTCCCCACAGCATCCCTCTTCCAGGACCTTCTGACACACCTGACCCGATCCCAGCCCCACTGAATCTTCTCAGGATCCCCAGTTGGTTGTTAAATGCCTGAAGATAGCAACAAAATCAACCCAAACCCATCCCCAAGCCCACAAAAGGGAGACTTTCCCAGCAAGATTGTAATCTCCTGGCCCAGGTGCCCCATCCATGGGTGACAGCATCCTCAGGTGTCACCACAGCCACCACAACTCAAGCTTAGTGGGTACCGAAATCCCCATCACCTCATGGGATTTCCAAAACCCACTCCCATTCAAAAACCAACCCCAGGCAACCCGTTTGCATGAGGGCAAGGCAAAAAACCCCACTGGAAGAAAGCAGAGGGAAGAAGGTCCGGAGAGGGGTGAGGAAGCCCCTGGAGATGCCTCCTGGGGGGCTGGTTGAGATCAGGGAGCCCTGGTGGGAACCAGCACCTTGGCCGAACTCCACAAGAAAGGGTGGGCTATCTGCTCCCACAGCCTAGATGCCATGTGGGCTTGGCTTTCACCAGCCAAGACCTACTTTGCACAAGATGATTCAGCTCCTGGGCAAGACGTGGGTGACACTTGGGTCCTCTTCAGTGGCTGTGAGCAGGAGACATGAAGACTTTTGGTATCTCCTCCCCATCTCCTTGCCAAAGCCTGGTCTACTGCCTTTATCTCCCTCTCTTGACCAAGCCACATGAGATGCTCCTCTCCCACCTCCACCACAGCCTGGCCACCTATAGATTTAGGGCTGGAAACAATTTCAACTCTCATCTTCTAAGGTGACTTCCCCGGCTGGTTTGGATGGAGGGAAGCAGACAATCCACAATGCTCATGCAAGCCCCTATAAATCCCCTCATAAAAGCTGGTGGGATATAATTGCTTAATTAACCCCCCAGGTGCCCCAGTGAGGGGCTGGGAATGCTGCACATTCCTGAGCCGATTAGGAGGCTCTTAAAGAGCTTAGGCGCATAATTAACATCTGATTCATCTTTATAAAGTGTTTTAATCAATTAAGAAATCTGCCTGAAGGGTGGCCCCACAGGTGACAGGCTTGTTTGGGTTTTTTTTGTTGTTTGTTTGTTTGGTTGGTTGGTTTTTTGTGACCCCCAGGGAGGTGACAGCTTTCCCCAAACAAAGCTTGGCTGGAGAGAGCAGTAGGTGACCTGGAGGAGAGGTCACGCAGTGGGGTGGCCCCAGAGAGCCACCTCCCTGGGCTGGTCGGATGATCTTTATTCCCTTGTTTACATTTATTAAGGAAAAATGTGAAAAAGGAGGCTGTGGGCTCCTGCACTGAGAGGTGGGTGTACTGCTGATGGGCTTGCTGGCCAACGAGGGTTGTCCACCCACCCATGGGCACTTTGATCCCCCGGCAGAGCCATGGCACCATCACCTCCTGGCCCAGCTTCCAGGGATCCTTGAAGGACACGGCCTTTGCCAACAGGGGGAAGATAAGCTTGGCAGGCATCTTCTCATTTCCCTCTGTCGCCTCAGGTCATCTGCAGGGCAGCCGTCCCCAGGGGTCCTTCCCCAGAGACACGGGACTGCTAGCATCCCTCATCCCTGCATCCCTTGTCCCTGCATCCCTCATCCTTGCATCCCTTGCCCCTCCATCCCTGGCCCGGCAGAAGCGGCTGCTCCCGGCAAGGAGGGCAGAGATCCAGAGGAAGATTCTCTCCGCACAAACCTTGTCCCCAAGCTCTTTCCCACACATCTTCGGTGCAGCCGGCTGGACCTCAGGCTGACCCAGCCCGGCTGGTCTCGCTGTGTTTACTCACTAGCACGCAATGGGGCAGGGCTGGGATGAATGCTTCCCCCAGTACGAACCCTCTGGGATGGGATTTTCTCAGAAACCAGGGATGGGGCTGGATGGGTTATGGGGTCAGATGGGTCAGAGGCTTCAGCTGAGATGGGTTTCCCAAGGGACAGGCAGGGAACAGATCCCCCAGGCTGCTGCTCCTCACGCCCTCCAGCCTTGCTTCCAATTTCACCACAGAGCAAAAACACTCTTGGCAAGCCTCAGCCAAAAGCCACAGGATTTCATCAGGATTGGGGTCAGTAGGGCATGAAATGACAGTGTCCCTGCTGCAACCTTGGTCCCTTGCTGCAGTCCCAATGTGGCCGGCATGGGAGGGTGATGGGGACAATCGGCGCGGGGTGAGGCAGCACAGATCTACCCAGCGGACCGAGCCTGCCCCGGCACAGGGCACATGGCCAGAATGACCCGGGACATGGCACTGTCCTACCCCTGGAGCACAGCATGCCCCCAACCCACGGCACTCAGCCACCACATGGATGCAGGCTGACCTGGGACGTGGCATATGGCCAGCCCAGGAGTGCAGCGTGACCCCAGGCCATGGCACACAGCCGCCCAATGCAGGCAGGATGGCCTGGGACATGGCACACAGCCATCCCACAAATGCAAGATGACCTGGAACTTGGCACATAACTCCACCTCGAGCACAGTGTCCCCCCATCCCACAGCACAGACCCACCCCATGAGCATGGGATGACCTGGGACATGGCACAGATGCACCCCAAGCCCAGACCCTGCTGGCACTTGCAGCCCTTCCCTTTCCTCCCTGTTTTTTACCACCTCAAACATCATTCCCAAAACATGTAGGGTCTCAAACAGCCCCAGCCCCTCAGTGGCCCCTCAGCCACATTTGTCCCCATAGCACCAGGGCAGCATCCCTGAAGAGCGACTGGCACCAGACATGGGTGGAGAGGGCTCTGCCCTCGGAGATGCCTTCCCTCCGTGTGATGAAGCACCCAGGGCACCATCCCACCCCAGGGAGCTGCCACCCGCCTCAGGGCCCCCCCCAGACTCACCCCGTCCGCCGTGGCTGGGTCTGTAGACACTGCCCACGCTGACCCGGGCTTGGCTATCGGGGACGGCTTGCGGCATATCGGGGCTCCTGGCAGGCAGGTAGGACTCGGGGCGAGGAACCCCATAAGGCTCCAGTGCCCGAAAAGGCGGCTGCGGTTCGTAGGGTGGGTACTGGCCCCCGTACCCCGTCCCAGCGGGAGCTTGCAGGTTATCGGCCGATGCGATGCCGTGGCCGGTGGGTTGCTGGTTGGCATATGAGTCCGGGCTGCCCTGCTCCGGTGAGCCCCCCGCATCGTGATACAAGCTATGGGAGTACCGGCGGTCCAACCCATCAACTGGCTGGGAGGCAGCAGGCACATAGGGGCGTTCAGCCGCTGGGTAGTAACCCTGGGCTCTATAGGGGCTCTGCTCCTCCCCGTAGTCCTCATAGCGTGCCCGGGGTTGGAAGGGGTACACCACGCTGGCACTTGCCGCTGCCGAAGCCACAGCCGCCCCGCCGGTGCCGGTGCTGCGGTAATAGGTGTACGCCTCGTCGTATGCCCGGGGTGCCTCGTAGGGCTCGTATTGGGGGGCGAAGGGGAATTGGGGGTACGCCGGCTGCCCGACGGAGGCGTAGGCGAAGGATGAGGAAGAGGAGGAAGGCTGGCGCGAGCGGCCGG